AACTGAAATTACAGATACATAAATACATCGAAAGGAAAAAGGGATTATCAACAAATCAATGAGAGAGAGGATCAACAGGTACAAATTAGAGTGTTAGCTTTTGAAGTAGCAATCCTACTGTCCAAGCTAGTTCATTAGTAAACGACGATGAGTTGTATTAAGGGGTGTGAGTGTGTGTATAATATTTTTGATTTTTAAAAGAATTAAATAAAAGGACAATACTACCCCTGAATTAATGGAGAAGCGTTTAATGGAGTTAGGAGAAAGGATCCAATCTGTAACAAAAGTGAAACCACGATGACACTACTTGTAATCATTTTGTTTGGGGACCTAATTGAAAATTTTCAATAACTATAGGGACCAAATTTGTAATTTACTCTACTCTATTTTAAGAAAATCTTTGGAGATGTTGTAATGGCGGAAGGTGGATCAGCCGAAGCTAATACGGATTTGTCATAATCTTGTTTTCCATATACTTTCTATATACCAAATCTGTGTGCACATCCCATATCCCATATCCCATATCCCATATCCCATATATAAACCTGTGATTCAGCTCACATTTTCTTCATTCAGTTATCGCTTCCTTCAATCAGTTTTCGTAAATTTTCTTCTCTTCCAAGTATCACAGGGGTTTTCCTCCAACCGTAAGAATCACTGAGCGGCGGTGAAAGGATGATGAACGGAATAAGTTCCGGCATTAAGATGTCGAAGGCGGCGGCGGAGGAGGAGGAGACGACCGTAAAAGGGGTTTGGTTATCGATTCTCAAGGGATTAGAACCTGCAGAAATCGAGGAGGTATTCTCTCAAAAGTTTTGTCATCACTGTCAGCCTCTTCTGCAATCTCGGCTGCAATCCGTCGCCAACAGTAAGATTCAAATCCTTTTTTCCTTTAAAAAGATGGGAAATTGATTTGATTATTGAATGCTGCGTGGATCAAATTGTTCGATTTCAATGACTTCGATTGAACAAAGTTTAAGTGGTAATTGATTCGTTATATGATGCATGTAGGGTTTGAACCCTCTTTACTCTGCAATTAGGGTTCCATTCTTCGAGAGAGGGTTTCTGTATCTTTAATTTTGTTGCCAATTACATCAAGTTCATTATAGGTATTATAAGTAGATTGATGTTATGCTAGATTAGCAACAATGTCTGTATCTTTAAAGGGCTAGATTTGTTCTAAAGACCTTAGCATCATGTGCTTGAAAACTATTTAAAATTCAAATGATCTTATTCTCTGTTCTTCTTTTGTTGTGGTAGGAAAACGCATGAAGAAGTTGTCAACGTCAAGTCCTGGTTCTCCTGATAATATTCCTGAGAGATGTCTAGAATCTTCCACTGATAGTTTTCTAGAATCTTCTAGCAAGAATGGGTCAATTAGAACTCCGCAAAACACCGACTCCAGAACTCGGATGCGCTATGCTGACAAGTTCTCCCCGGCATCAGTTGACAGCAAAAATTCAGCCTCATCCACTGAATCAAAATCTGGTAGATTATTTGATGAAGGAATATGTGGACTTTCTTCGGTGGAAGATTTGGGATTCGCAAACGTTGGAAGAAAGAACAACTTTGTACACATAGAGAGGATTAACGAGAAGAACGTGAATGTGCTTCAAGGGCTCGAGCTACACACCAGAGTCTTCAATGCTGAGGAACAAAAGAAGATCGTTAAATCCGTGTATGAGTTTCAACGCATGGGCCAAAGGGGGCGGTTTAGAGGTGCGTATTCTGCTCTTTTTACATAAACCGTGTATTATAAACTCTAAACCCGATCTATTTCTTTGTACTAACTACTAAGAAGGACGGAATGTTTGCAGAAAAGACATACTCGGAACCTGCAAAATGGATGCGAGGAAAAGGGCGCGTTACCATTCAATTTGGCTGTTGCTATAATTACGCAATCGTATGGACTCATCCTATCATCCTCTATCTTTTTATTTTGCTAAATGACCTTCTATCTTTATGGTATATGGTTTAGGGTTTCTATTGACTTTTAGTCATCTTTTCTCAGGATAAACATGGAAACCCTCCCGGCATACTTAGAAACGAAGAAGTTGATCCCTTGCCACCGATATTCAAACAGATGATCAAAAGAATGGTTCGCTGGCATGTTCTGCCTCCTACGTGTGTCCCTAACAGCTGCATCGTGAACATATACGATGAAGGAGATTGCATTCCACCGCATATCGATCATCATGACTTTCTTAGACCATTCTGTACAATATCATTCTTGACGGAATGCAATATATTATTCGGTTCAAGCCTCAAGATCGTCGGCCCTGGAGAATTTGCAGGCCCCGTTTCCATACCTTTGCCCACAGGGTACGAAAACATTTTATTCCCTTCCTTGATTACATATAGCAAAATAAAGCTGAAATTGATGATTGATTGTTGAAACTTACATAATAATGCAGATCAGTGCTCATATTAAAGGGCAATGGTGCTGATATTGCCAAACATTGCGTCCCGGCTGTCCCTGCCAAAAGGTATGATTCTGAACACTATAATCCCAAGCCCGGAGCCTGGATCGGCAGGATCCGAGCCCGGAGCCTGGATCTGCACGAGCCTAGGCCCTGTCTTAAAGCAAGATCAGGCCAGCCATTTTTTCAAGGCCGGGTTAAAGCCCAGCATGAAAAACCCATATATCTGACTCAAAAGCCCAGATTTTTTTTTGTTTTCTTGAAAACGGGTTTGGAAGACTTGGGGGCCGAGGCCCAAAAAAGCTCGGGGGTCTTGTTCATCTCTCAATCACCAGAAGGTCGATGTTTATTCATGTAAACTTGAATCTTGATTTCATTGTGGGATTGCAGGATTTCAATCACTTTCAGGAGAATGGACGAGAGTAAGATTCCGTACGGTTATTCACCTGATCCAGAGCTGCAGGGTCTAGAGCCGCTGGTCTTAACTCCTTCACGTAAACCAGTATCGCAACAAAAGCAGATCGTAACAAAAGAAGTATCTCCTCCTGCTTCAAAACCGAATGGTGGTCCGTGTTTTGTGATCGGAGGAGGTGATTTTCCGCCTCTGGGTGTCGGAAATGCAAGTCAACAAAGGGGTCATAAGAAGAATGTTTTCAAGAGTTAGGAAAATTGGATGATAGTACTTGTTTTAAATGTAGCGTTTCATATGCAAATTGAATGAGACAGAATGCTTACTGAATAAGACTATTGTTTAATCATTCGTTTGACACTGCATTAACTTATTCAAAGACTTTTCTATCTAATAAAAACTCATCTTTAAAAACCCTTCACAATACAACTGACTTTTTTCGAAAGCTTTTTGTATTTAATAATTAATTTATATATATATATATATATATATATATATAAGTCATTCATATCTATTTCAAATGTTTCATAAAACCCCTAATATAATTTGTCCTTTTAATTACACCAAATTTTCAAAAAGAATATTACTTGACATTAAAACTTAAATTAAAACCCCCCTTAATTTAATTTGTGGTTGTTTTGAAATCAATAATATTCTTCAAAAAGAAACATTATTTAGCGTTAAAATATATTAAAATAAATCAACTTATTAAAAAAATAAAAGATGAATGTATTATATGGTTTTTATATATTTTGGGTATTCGATATTGGTATCATTTTAATTATTTTGACGAGAGCTTTTTAACAATATATTTTGTTATAAAATATATTTGATTTTATTATAAATATTTAATGAATTAGACTATTTAATTGAAATGAAAATAAGATTGAGAGAAGGAGACAAAATGAAAATTTTAGTGGGGTGAAATATAAATTGGTGTGATAGGGTTGTGAAATGCGGACATTTTTATAAAAACTTTTCAACTGCCCTTTTTACGATGGTAAAAAGCTATTCCAATAACTTATTAGAATAGTAAAAACCTTTATAATAACCTCTCATTGGAGGTGTTCTAACTTCTAAGGCTGCTTTCCTTCAAGGTCGAACCTTTTAAAGGGATCCGATATGGGAATTGGGGGTACATTGTCAATGACTTCATTTTTTTAATTCATTGCTTGTATCTATTTACATCATATATTATCACTATTTGTTAATATATACTTAGAATAATAAATAGTGTAAGGAGCTGATTTAAATAAGAAGGTTAAATATTATGAGAAAATAAGAATGAGAGATTAATGGGAAAAAAAACCCTGTAGAAAACCGTGTGCAATCTTTAAAGTGGGAGTTGACTTTCGGGGGAAAAAAACCCTGTAGAAAATTGTGTGCAGGTCAAAGCAGGCAAGACAGGGAACCACGCGACCTGAGTCGCGGCTTGAGTCTTGCGACTAGGTTGCGTAAGTCCCTATTGTGAGATTTTTGAGTTTTGTTTTTGTGGTGTTTAAGGGTTTTTTTGGGTTTCATTTAAGGGTTATAGGTAGGTTTAGAGACAAGGAAAATGCCTAATCATCGAGGTTGTAATTGGTGCTTTATCTACTCAGATTCAAGTGTTCAGTGTTGATATCTTCTAACATTTCGAGTCTATTATAAGACTTTCGGAATCAGGTGAGTTTCCTTGTATCTTTCATCGGAAATGCATATTCTTGATTATTATTGTTATGCTAGATACTAGTTATCCGTTTATATTGTGTCATATATTTGTTATTTGATCTAAATCAAGTGGAGTCTTGATATTGGTATTACGGAAATGTGTGTGTAACTGTGATGGTCTATATAAGAAAGTTAATAGATCAACATATGAATGTGTTCCTTGTGGTTCCATTGTCGGTATTGATTGTGATCAAGTCGAAGTGCTTATTTTATTACTAATGCGATTGTTGTAGCTCGTTACTTATTCTGATATAGCCTTGCAAGCCTACATCGTTATTATGTGGAAATTTTCTTTAATAATGTTGAGATTGTTGGATTCTTATATTGCAGGGAAATTCACTAGACCCTTTGGTCTAACCCTCATTCTTGTTTTGTAATATGCATTTTAGGACAACATCATATAGAGGGCAAACCAAAAAGGAAGAGTAAGATGTGAAACACGTTATTTAGATTTCAATTAATTAGAGGCAAGACAAGAGAGAGAGAGAGAGAGATAGCTTGACTTTGAACTATCTGATCTGATCATGGGGGGATAGCACAAGGGCTTAAGCCATTGGTTTGCTAAACTCTTTGTATGCGCGTTATCGCTTGTTTATTCTTCTAGTTTGTTAGTGAAAGCTTCTTAGACTAGTCTCAGATGGGAAACTTACTTTCGCGAGAGTTGCTTCCGCCTCTCGTGAAAAGACTAGGATAACAAGAGAGAGGCTGACTACAGCAGACCGGGAGGTTACAATTCCTGTTGTCCCGTTTATTCGTTGCTAATCTAAAAAAGATCTTCTCCCGTGGGCATTAGCGAACACTTTTCATTTTTCACTCGGTCCTTACTTCTGCTAAAAGATAGAGAGAAGGCTTCCTAAAATTTGATTTGTTGGAGAGATAAACCGGTGGCAGCTGGCCTTGGCAAGGAAAAGGTTTTCCACAGCATGTGTACACGGCTATCACTCGGCTAACCACCCTAGCTAGCAACCTAACGACCGAACTAGTGGATGAGAGGCCTTACCAACGATCCACGACTGCCAATATATCCTGCGGAAACCAAACTTCTTCTCAGAAGGATAGATGGGGCGATTCAGCCCTAACTACGGACTAATGGGCAAAGGAGGTAAAAGAAAGCCTATTCATTCGGATTCTCCTCCTTCTCCAACTTAAGGAGGAATGTCAAAGTCAGTAGAGATGCAGAAGAATCGCATAATTACAACAAACATTCAAATTCAAAGGAGTTTTAAATTATATTATTAAATTATTTCTCTCTCTTATCTTTAGACTTTTTTTAGTCAGGTTTGTTGCATCGAATTACGTTGTACCCCCTATATATTTCTTCCCTTCTGTTGTAATCAAACGTAGTTGAATAAAAAAATCAGTTTTTGAATTTTCACATGTACCATTACTATCTGAGGTTTCAAAAAAATACAGTTTTCAAGGTAGTGAACTAAACTGTTTAAACATATATAACATATCATTTGTGGGTTGTTGCTTTCTTAATTCATACGCTCATCCTCTTTGATCTTTTTAAATGTTACAACATTATTACAACCATTACAACGGTGTACGTACCAAAAAAATTGTCACTTTTGAAAAGATCTCAACAATTTACACATGTAATTGAGATCAATTATTTAGTTGACATAACCACAAGAGTGGTGTCTGATTGGTTTGAGCTTGGCTCCAAAGGTCAAAAATACCAGGAGGTCTCAAGTTCAAATCCAAGGAGAAAAAAATCCCCTTGTGGTCACAGAGGTTCAAATGCGTTGACTCCGGGCTATCTGCAAAGCAGGTGGTCGCCCTAGGATTAGTCGGCTCGCATATCCAGATTAATAAAAAAAATTGTTTAGTTGACATACGCTATTATATGTTAACAATAATCCAGTCAATGATTTGTATATATTTATGTAATTAGTCTTTTCTAACTTTAAATCATGTGTATTATTCAAAAAGCTGAAATATAATAGAATAATTGTTATTAATATACCTGTTGACTTCTCTATACTGTAATCGGTACCTAAAGCACAATGCGTAGTAAAATTGATTGGAATTGGATTCATATTCGACCAACAACTATATAAACAACCATGCTTTTTTAATTTTTATGGATCATATTGCTAAAAGAATGGAACAAAATTTTAATAGATCTATTAATCCATTTGTTTAAAGACAATATTTTTGGATTTTGGAATATTCTTTTTCTGAAAGAAAGATGCCAATAAGAATTAATGAGCACCCAGAGAGCATAACGTTCATACAGTGAGAAATATGAGGCGGTAAGCTAGGATAAGAAATGAGACAAGAGTTGAGATGTGATAGTTAAGGCAAGAGTTTGGGCTACCCCATTTGCTCGTCTACTGATAGCCCTAACTGAAAAGGACTCCTGATCGCGGAGCATAGAACGGATACGACATATGATATCACCAAACTCCATAATGTCCTTTTCCGACGAATTGGCCGCATTCGCAATAACTTTTGCATCTGTCTCAAATTTGACCCTTAGTAAATCCCAAATCAATAGCCCATGAAATTGCATCAAAGAGCGCCAGAGCTTTACACTCATGAATAGACGACAAGCTGACAATAAGCTTAGATCACGCGACTACAAGCTCTCCTTGGGCATCACGAAATACCACTCCAAAATCGGCTTTTGCATTGTTCGGGATGGCGTTCGCATTGGTCTTACATTTAACAAAATTTTCTGGAGGGGAATGCCATAAATGACCGTAATCTGGGGCAGTTGTAGACTCTGATCAGGGCCTCAACTCATTCATCGCAAGCAATCCGAGTGAACCACTTCACATTACCATGTCAGGATCCTTTAACTGTTTGACCACAAAATGTCATTGCGCCTATACCATATACTCCATAAACATCATAAAGAATTTATCGGCCACCGCATGATGGCAATCTCGCAAGACTCCATACAAGAGTTCCGAGAAGGTGTCGACCCTCTCCGCTTGGCTGTCTACCAACTCCAAACAAGAGTTCCGTATTACGTTGACAGAAAACACATAAGCGCGAAGTTGGAATTCCACGCACCTGAAGATTCTGACGATTGAGAAGAATGTCAAGGGCTGCTTTCCAAACATTTCACACAAATTTAATTGAAATCATCTGTTTAGATATCATACATAATTATATGGTAACATTAATAATTATTTAATGACTTGTATGTATTTATGCAATAATTATTTTCTAACTTTAAAAACCGATATTATTCCTAAGTTGAAATATAATCCAATAAATGCTTTTAATATAAACTTTTGACTTCTTTATACAATATCGATACCTAAAGCACAACTGTATAATAAATTGGATTCATATTCGACTGTCAAATACATAATACAACCATAATTTTTCATAATCTTTTAATTATCAAAGAGTCATATAGCTAAAAGAATGGAGCAAAATTTTAACAATATAATTTATTAATCTGTCTGTGTAAAAATAAACCACTTTTGTTTTTCAATTCATATTTAGGCATTTTTTTTGTTTAAAAAAAATATTCTTATCAGACTCTTATATTTGATTTGATAAAAGGTGGGCCCACTCAGTTTGTTTTTTCTTTTTCAATTTTTCAAAACACTTATGTCTTACCAACTAATCCCTTATTTGCCTCTTATTTTTCTCCAGGCCTCAACAACGGACGTATCTCAATCACTCATCTCTCAATTGATTAACCCTAATCGATCATTTCACTCAATCGATCCTGTGAGCCCCCAATGGATGCTATTCATGATCCCTTCGGTAACTAAAATCAAGAGATTGATGAGAGTACAATAGATTCTATCCAACGGTTGTTTTGCTATCGGTTCAAACCATGGTGCGTATATATAATTGTGGTTCCTTTGGAGAAACCTTCAAGCGCGTTCGTAAAAGTGTGTCTGTATCAGTTGATATACTTTAATAGGATTTGAATGTAAATTAAGATTGATTTTAGTTGTTATGAAACGTCGGTCATATGTATTATTATTGTGTCTGGATCAGTCGATGTACTTTGATATGATTTGAATGTGTTTAAATTAATGAATGGTATATTTTGGTCTGTTAGTTTATAATTTAGATGTAAAATTTGTAATGATGATGAATAAACAGATAAAGTATATAAATATAACACTCCACTGCTATCAAATAAACAATTATGATGATTTTATAAGTTTATGTAACATAAATAAATAATTCAAAAAACATTATCCAAACAAACAAAAAAAGGTCACCTGAAAAAATAAAAATAAAGTTAATGTAGGTTAGGAATATTGCCAGCTCAGGCCAATCACAGTTTGCAACCTAAAGGCTGTACCAAGCTTTCTTTGGTGTATCGTCCCAGATCCAAGAAGTCCGAACCAGATAACGTGCATCTCTGTCTACATTTACCTGCAATAACATGTAACGTCTTTGCCAAGTCTGTTGTCACAGTTTATTCCATGAATCCAATGATTAGTTGTTGCCATTTATACCACCCTCGTATAACCGTCCATCTTGTCGTGATCACAAAATATGAGTCAATGGTTTGCTTTTGTTTTCACCATAACCTTGGAGTGGGCCTACGAAGAGGGTAGGGGGTGCACGGGCTACCTCTCAATCGTCTAGTTGAAATGAAAGAAACTTTAGCAGATATTAAAAGTGCACCTACTTAAATCTGAGGGGTGCCTTGAAATGTTTTAAAATCAAACTTGTAACATAAATAGAAAATGGTTTAAGTTGCTGGATTAACGCTTCCCTGAGAGGTCGCGGGTTTGACTCCCGTTTTTGGTGAACTTCCAGTCTTTTCATATTAAAATTCCGATACTGATACATTGGGAAAAACTGAAGGAATACAAAATGGATAAAGGTTAACCCGCGATCTTCTCTAGCTAAAGATGGCAATACACCATGATATTATGTAAGGTTTTCTATAACGTGTTCACCTTATGGTCTAATGCTATCATCGCTTGTTCCTCGTTTCTCTCTTTCTTGTTCGACGATCGGCCTCACCTGCAATTTTGTTGACTTCGTTATTATAATACTGATAGCCATTGTTCAGAACGCTATAACCTTTTGAAAACACACACAAAATGACAAAATTCACAAGTTCAGTGAGAATTCGATTTTAGAATCGAGGTAGAATTTCTTGAAAATTTGAAATAAACAACAGTTGATAAACTCTTAATATACTAACTTTTCGATTTTATTTTATTTATTACTTATCTAATCAATCTATAACTTTTTTTTTGATTAACCTGAATATCCAACCCGCTATGCGAGCCGACTAATCCCAGGGCGACCACCTGCTTTGTAGATAGCCCGAAGTCACCGTATTTGAACCTCCGTGGCCACAAGGAGATTTTTATTCCTCCTTGAATTTGAACATGGGACCTCCAGATACTTTAGACCTTTGGAGTCAAGCTCAAACCAATCAGACATCACCCTTGTGGTTATCAATCTATAACTTTGATACAAATATAAAACACCCTCCATATATATACTGGAACCACTATGTCGAAATCATTATGTAAAACACTGTCGATATAACATACTTTAAAACGCAATATCTGTTTCAACTTAAGAGATTGTTTACCGAACACTTATCTGATAAGTGCTTACCGGTAAATTTAACAATCATTTACTTACCGGGTAAGATTTTTAGCCCACCAAACAATATTGTATGCAACAATTTACTCGATAAACGCTTACCGTAGTAAGAGTCGTCGCTCTCACTTACCGGGTAAGACTCTTGGTTCTTATTTCGCTTTTACCGGGTAAGATTCTTGGTCCTTACCATATTCATCCGACAAGGTAATATAACTTAATGTTCACTTACCCGAGTTAGCGCTTGGTAAACGGTAATTAAGTATCTGTCCTCTAATCACACTATTAACAACTAAAAAAAAACAAAATATTATAAAAATAACAATCTTTTTATTAAAATTAATATCATTGATCAAGCTTATAAAATCCAAATCAAATAAAATCTTATTCAATAAAAAATTAATATAATTCATAAAATAAGGAATTAATTAACAGAAAGCTGATTTTATTTAAAAAGAAATTATAATAAAAGATGCGATTTGTTTGCTAAAAAAAATCTAAAATTACGAATCATAACAACTCAGCTTATGCTTTGCGTCGGCATTGAGTGATGAGGTGGACGTCATCTCCACTCGATCATTTCCCATCCAACGCTTCTCCTGCTCCTCACAATATTTTGCATGCTTGCCACGTATTTAATGCTCTCTTTCTCACTATTCGGCCTTTTTTACCCCCCTTTCTTTCTTTTACCTGATAACACACACACACACACACACACACGGAAGACCAACTTCTCAGCTCCCAAATGACTCTCTGATTGCTCAGGTGTCAAAAACTTCCAATCGGTCGCTTCTTCCTTTACTTCACCACTGGATCTTGTTCTTCCTTTTCGATTTACTCAGGCTTGATGCAGAAATTAGCCTAGATTTGATTTGATTTGATTTTGTAACAGGTGAGCTCTTCCATGGTTTCTTGTCATTATTCGTGAATTTGGATGGCCATTGACTTCAGAACATTAGGATTTGATTTCTTTTTCTTTGCAACTGTTTTGCTGATTTGCTTTGTCTCGAAATCTGCAAAAATAAGCAGGATTGACGGATTAGACAGAATGGTTTCGAATATGTTGCGATATTGGAGGTCGATTAGTATAGATGTTTATGTATTCGTGTCTGGTTTGTTGAAATCCTTACCGGCCATTGGTTGTTTACTGCAGGAATGTGTTGATATGGATTTGGTACTTTAGCATAAATGTCTGGATTCAGGCATTAATTGAACTACTTTGGTTGAACTGTTAAAGTAGTCTTGGAGGGGGGGCCGTGCTATAGTCAAAGTCAATTGGGTATTATTATTCAATAACAATTACATTGTTCGATGCATGGATATAGGAGGTGTTTTTGATTTCAGTTGTTATTCAGATAAATATTAAAAATTAATTACTCTGGGATATTATACGATATCTATTTGTATCGTCCAAACACAGTTTCAAGTGGTTAGTTGATTCTTACGACTTGTGCTTTTACTATTAAACATTCTCTAGTCTGTTAAAAATTATTTAAGCTTACCTTGTTGTACTCTTCTAGAACAGAAAGCAAATGTTTCACTTTTACTTATGCTAAAGCAACTATCTATCTTTATATCTCGATACACCACACACACACACTTGTGGGAGCTTTCCTCATGCTTGTTGGACAGATTTTTTTGGTGATGGTAGTTCACTTATCTTGAATACTAGAGACTTAAACGTTTCTGAGAACCCTTTTACCATCAACCAATTAAAAGTTACAAGTTACATTACATCTACTCGTAGATTAGTGAGGCCAAGAATTAGGACAGTCTATTGCTTAGTGCACATCTGTTTCTTATTACTTATTACACAATCGTAATTTATTAATTCCATTATTTTTCTTATTAGCCAAAATGATTATGTTCATATACAAAGTGCAAGAGCATGTGGATGCTAGACTGTACCAAAGTCTGAATATGTCATAGATATACAAAAAAGTCATGACAAGAAAATAAATAAAGGAAGCCAGGAAGAGAAGTTTATGTCAAATGCCAATGGGAAGGTTCAAAATAGAAGATAGGATCATGAAACAAGACCTGGGAAAACCAACAACAAAGAATATGCACTATTACTTACATAACTCCCACTTATTTGGATTGTATCTGCAATTATTAATTTCACAGAACTTATTCTAGGATTACAGAACACCAAGAAATAATGAAGTCAAACTAAAAGTACTGTTACTGTATAGCCTCTTGGAACAAGGTTCTCCATCCAGTTTTAAAGTTAATATATAAAAATTCAACTTCGCTCATCACCGTGTATGCAGAAATCAATGGTGTCGCTGGACCTTAAGTTAAAAAGAAGCGACTGATAACCAAAAAGATTGTTATAAAGTTCAGGTGTATCTTCTTTGCAAGTTCTAATATTTTGGCATTAGTAGTATACATACCTTCTCCTTGGGGTCCATAAACAGTTTTGAATGGAGGTGGCATGCTGCATTCAGATGAATGGAATTTATAGCAAATTGATGCATGAGCAGGAAGTCTTATTTACTAGGTTTTAGAAACTAGTTACGAGTTCATGATATGCTTAGGAGAAGCGATTTAACTTGTTCATCCTACACACTTGGGTATACGTTTACTCATAATTTTAACATCGTAATGACCTGATATTTAAGCTTGAGATATATTAACCAATTGTCAGAAACCACGTGATGTATCTACTGCATAAGTCAAACTGTATTTCTAGGTAGTTAAAATTTTAGATCAAATTTTTAAGTAAAATGTAAGAGATTTTAGAAAGAAAGCAAGGTGCATAACGAGTGAAAGAGGAAATTTCTGTTGGGTACAAATGCTAAGTGATTTTGAATATAGTGGCAAATTATGAATCGACCGTCCCTTAGATCCTTGCACGAATTTATTCAAGCATCTCTTCTATTTTATAACTCTATTGCCATCTACTGAAAACATGTCTCAAATCTAATATTTAGGACTGCAATATCAGTTAAATATGGGGACAGGTCTGAGTTATTTTATAGACACATGCACGATATCTTTGGTTTTTATTTGAGAATTTGTTGTTGAGCCTGAAATGACATCTGCTGATCGTATTTCACAATCTTATGATGGTTTGTATCCCTCATCGTTTCAGGATGAGTGAGGAGATAAATTTACAGGGAGATGTTTACTTTGGTAATGTCAAGGGAAAAATTCCCCACGGCATGGGTAGATACACATGGTCCGATGGTACAGTTTATGATGGTAATTGGGAAGACGGAAAAATGACTGGTAGAGGGCAGATCTCTTGGTCATCTGGAACAAGTTATGTGGGTGATTTTTCTGGGGGATATCTTCATGGTATTGGCACATTGACAAATCCTGATGGATCTGTATACAATGGCTCTTGGAGGCTGAATATTCAGAACGGGCTTGGAAGAAAGCAGTATAGCACCTCTGATGTTTATGATGGTTGTTGGAAAGACGGAGTGCATGAAGGCAGTGGTAAGTATGCTTGGAGTAATGGCAACATGTATATTGGGAACTGGAAAGCTGGAACAATGTGTGGTAGAGGTGTGATGAAATGGATGAATGGTGACCTGTTTGATGGTTTTTGGTTAAATGGCTATAGACATGGGTCAGGTGTTTACAGGTTTGCAGATGGCAGTTATTATTTTGGGACATGGACCAAGGGACTCAAGGATGGACAGGGCACATTTTATCCTGCAGGAAGTAAGTGTCCACCTCTTAAAAAGTTTGACAAAAAGAAAAGCCTGATATCTCATAGTTCTTCTGGTAGGTCTGAGAGGTTCAGGGATTTGGAACGGAATGTTAGTCGAAATTATTCTCAAAAAATTTCGTTTAATGGATTTTTTAGAGAGTCAGGTCGAATATTAAGCATGAGATTACCGCCGGAAGAAGATTATACCATTGCGAATTCTGCTATAGAGTTCTCTACTTCTGAGAATACAAACATGTTATCTCATATCTCGGATGAAGGGGAAAGTGACCTAGATGATGATAGTAGTGAGGTCTGGGAAAGGGAGTACATGCAAGGTGTTTTAATGAAAGAACGGATCAAGAAAAATGCAGGAGTACCATCCAAAGGCAAACAGCAAAGCAAACGTCAAGCAAATGATGTGAAAAAGAGATCATGTGTGGATATTTATGAAGGCCATAAAAGCTACTTTCTGATGCTTAATCTGCAACTAGGTATCAGGTAAATGAACTAAACTGAATGCCATTCCTTCTCTGATCACTTGACTCTGGTTCAGTTTTTTGGGTACTAAAATACTTGATGGAAGCAGCAGATTGTATACAATAAAATGTCAAGAAGACAACACGAGGACAGCTGTAGTGAAGACAACACATGCACACACACATCGGATTGGATGTTTATCATACATATGGCCTTCTGCCTTCGGCTATATCCACAGCACAATTTCCTACATACATACATACATACTGTCAACCCCATAATTTACATCTAGAGGATATCCATAATGCTACTTCAACCTAACTGGGATAAATGCTCATTTTTCGAACCAAAATTTCTTGAATCTCTTCTCTCTGTAAACTATTAGTAATACCAGATCTTGTTTCAGATTGTTCTTGAGTTGTGTACTTCATATACCAGATTCTTCTATAACGATAGATGCATGTCAGTAAAACTGAGTCACCAGGACACCACTCGAAGCTGCAACCTAACAACTATTACTAGCCAGTACCAGCAAATCTTTTAACTTTTGCTTTGTGCGGGTACTTAGCATATAATGATGAAACCCTAATAAACCATCTAAATACTAAACCTGCACCCACTGGTCACTTGACTGTAACCTTTAAATCACATGTTGCAAGTCTTCACTTCAGCTAAATTCTCTAAGCCTATAATTTAAGCCTATTACTATGACAGAGATCACATACAGAACTGCATCATGATGCTATTCGTGTATCTTCTACAAGAGGGTGATTGTGAATATCTTCAGAGTACCCAATAACACCAGTACCGTAGACACTGATCTGTACTTGTATCTGGCCAAAGACTACTAAACAACAGTTCACATGCATAGTTCACATCACATCAATAATATGTCCATCTGTAAGCCTTGAAGGGGTTACATGTGAGTGATATGTTAAGACTAGTGATCCCACATCAGGGAAGTACTAGTCCTCTCACGGGTATATATGATCCTAGGCACTCATAGCTTTTGGTTGAGTTAGAGTCCCCGATGTTCAATGTCTTGACACTTGCTAGTCTTCATCTCTGATTTTGACGATTCCATTATTTTATGTCAGCTTATGAGTTCTGATTTCAATATTCTATTTCCTTATCAGCATTATCAAATATTGTTCCAGAATGTGGTTCTAATTGGTACAACAACTCATGTGTTGTATCATTTGAAGTTCACAGGTACACAGTTGGCAAAATTACACCAGTTCCTATGCGTGAAGTGAGATCTTCAGATTTTGGGGAACGAGCTAGAATAAGGATGTATTTTCCCAGGAAGGGATCACAATTTACACCTCCACACTATTCTGTTGACTTCTATTGGAAAGACTATTGTCCTATGGTCTTCAGGTATCTGTTTAGCTGGTACTGGCATACATGTTGGGTTTCTTTTCTTTGAAGGACATGTGATCGGGTCTTTTGAATGGTATCAAAACCTTGATTATTAGCTTAAAGCATGTTCTCCTTAACCCAAAGTTGGTTCTTATTATTTTACATATGCAATGGTAGAATAAATATAAAGAATAGATTTGTGACAGCATTATTGTATTAATAGGATTCATAATCTGAAGCACAAATGTAATAGCACTGGAGGGAGGATTTGCTTTTGTTATATGGCGAATCATCATGTGGTTAGCATTGGTCATTATTACTAGACCTCTTGACTTTATACAGCATTAATTGGGTTAATTGGCTGCTGCTTCATCATCAAATTGCATATTGTCAGCATCTTCATATGGCACCATAACCCATTAGAGCAAAATTTTATGCTTTCCTCATTATACTATATGTTAATGCATATCTTCAAGAACCTTTCAGTTTATTCTGATATCTGTTGGAAGTTGTTTATGTAATATACCATGCCTACGTTATATCTTGATGTATGTGTAGTCTTGGTAGATTGTGATGGCCTTCTCTTCAGGAATTTGAGGGAGATGTTCAAGTTAGATGCTGCCGAGTATATGATGTCCATATGTGGGGATGATGGTTTGAGGGAGCTTTCTTCTCCAGGGAAAAGTGGCAGCATATTCTATCTGTCCCATGATGACAGATTTGTGATCAAGACTTTAAGAGGATCGGAGTTGAAGGTTTGAACTTTTGAATGAACTTTTGAAACATATGTACACCATTATCTTAACGTCATTTATTCTTGTATATGTCTAGGGCTCAAAGAATGCTCTTTCGTTATCGGGAGAGAACACTTGATATATATTGTAACAAATGAACATGATTAAAACCCTAATTTTAACATAATGCTATTTGCTAATAGCGCAGGGTGCAGTATTTTAATGTTTCGAAACTTTCACTAGTTAGAGATGATACATATATCATACTTGAAATAGTTTTCAGGCCAGTTTGTGTTACCATGTAAGGGAGCATAAGGTAGAGGAATTCACGTCCCCACTTGCTGTTTCTGTTTTGGTCTATTCGAATTTAGCTTCATATTTATTTTGACTCCATCTTTCTCTTTCTAATCTTCCCTTTGCACGTCATAGACATTTTATAATTGGTATTCGTCATCTTGCATGCCATAAAATGATTTACATCTATAGCCATAGAAGTCGGTTCCTCTTTGTATGTCTTAGCGGCACTGTTTTGGCTATATCCACAGTATGTATCATGGTGATCACCTGCACCGTAGAATCCGCCCTCTACGTTGTGGATACATTTAGTAGGGATGCTTTTCAATTAAAGAGCCTGCTCAAAGAATTAGATCACTAGAAAAAAAGGACATTTGAGGGAGTTCTTTAGAGTGAATATGTGTTTTATTCTCAGGATTTTGCTTTTATTTCCGTGTGCAAGAACAATCTTTAGAAGAAGAGCTTTTTAAATAGGTGTACTGTGCTATAAAGCGAAGATGAGAGTTGACATTGGTTGTAACTTTGGTTGTCAAGATTAGGAGTTGGAACTTGGAACTACTAGGCTTGCAATGACTAAATTGGATTAATGAAATCATGAGTTGGAGTTATTAGAGTTTGATGGGGTTACTTGATCTGTGTTATAGTCTTCTAGAAGCTTTTTTCTTTTTTCAGTTTAATTAAATGGCAACCTTTTATGATGCTTACTGTTATTGATAGAACTTCTTTGAAGGGTACTATTTATCTTCTCATTGTATGTGTCTATGTTTCTGCATATTGAATTCTAAACTAATGCCTTCCTCTGTCATTGCGGTGAACATTCAGACTGCATTTTACCTAGATGATCTGCTGTAGAGTTGTGCATCTTGTTTTGAAATGCAAAACGACGAGTGTTGATCTTGTCTTACGATATTTTCTAGGTTCTACTCAAGATGCTTCCTAGCTATTACGATCATGTGAACGACTATGACAACACTCTGATCACCAAATTCTTTGGCCTCCATGAGATAACACTGAGAGGTGGCAAGAAGGTATCTATCCTCCGATTGATGTATTCTAGTTTTCTTAGATTAACATGGTTAACACATTTTGTTTTGTTTAATCTCATTTCCAGGTACGGTTTATAGTCATGGGAAATATGTTTAAAACAGAACTACGGATCCATCGGCGTTATGATTTGAAGGGTTCTTATCAAGGAAGATTCACAAATAAGGATGCTATAGATGAGGGTACCACATTAAAAGACCTTGATCTCGCATATGATTTCCATATGGACAAGTCATTGCGTGAAGCACTTTTCAAGTAAGTCTTTATTTGGTAGTTGCGAGTCATGATGACTCACAGAACAGTAATGATAACCCACTCTTGTAATCATAAGACTCTAGGAAATTGTTATGCATTTTTATTTCTACTATTTTGTGTAGTTTTTTTGGAAGTATATAATACTATATATGGCAAAACTAATACACACTACTCACTTTGGTGAGGTCTTGAACCCTAGACCTCCAGGAAGGTTGGGCTCTACCGCTGGGCCAACGACCCTTTGATTATTTTGTGTACTTTTTATGTGTAGGAAGAAAATCTTCATCCATTGCAATGAATGCCCAGTCAAGGTCAAATTGATGTGGTGCTACATGCTGGTGTAGTGTTTATTGGTCGATGTTACAAGTGTATGTAAGATTAAAATAGAACTACTTTTGGGCATTGAGAGGGTAATTTGAACAAAAAAGAACTTTTAGGAAAGCTTCAAATTGTTTAACTTCCAGCAAGGAAACTAGTGTAAAAGACACCCGATATAATTTACTAGATATATACAACTTGTCAAATGTCCTATTCATCAGACCTATTATGTTAGCCGAACGTCACATGGATGATTAAATCAGAGCGGGGTGGTGAAACAAAAATATGTTTCTTCACTATAAATATCACATGTCAGAGTACGCCCTTAACACCACTGGCTACCTAAAAAGAAGAATGTTGCATGGTTATCATTGTACCACTGTTTATGCCTTTTCTCTTTGGCTCATTTTTTCCCAGATTGTTTTTACCAATTCAAAATTATGGTTTATGCAGCAACATAAACGTAATTTTCTTCCAACCTCTTTTGCAGACAGATCCATCTAGACTGCTTGTTTTTAGAATCTCAGCAGATTATAGATTATAGCCTTCTTCTCGGATTACATTTTAGAGCTCCTGAGCATTTGAAGGCTCTCTTGGAACCACCAGATACAATGCTCATGTCCAGTACACCTGTTGATGATGGTAATGTCTGTTCCTATTAAGTTATAATTATTTGTTTTCTTCTATTCACTAGTTGAAGAGTGTGTTTTAGCAGGTTAAGTTATCTCTCTGATATGTGATACATTAAATGTTATTAACATTTGACATTACCACAACAATCTCAGAATCTCAGGTTCATGACTTTATGTCGGTGTTTTTTTTGTTGTTTTTGAGGATGCAGTGTTGTATGAAATTAAGTTGTATATTGCAACAGCAGAGAATGTTCCCATTGGACAAGCAAGAGCCATTTAGAAGTTGATTTCATGTGGGCTCACCTCATTTTAAAAACACAAAAGAAGCTCCTTGTTAACATCCTTTCCAGTCATATTAGTTTATTAACGTGATTCGGTGGGCATCCAGGTCAAGACCTCGGCCTAGATATGTGGGACTGACAAACTAGTTGATTAATGTCTTTGGCCTGCAACCAGTTTCATGCCCCATTTTTTTATAGGAGTTTGATAAATCAGGTCACACTTTCCCCTCCCAGGCAAACAATATCTGCTCAAAAGAATATAATTCTTAGATTGAGATATTCCATATTCATATTAATCCATAGTTTGAATATGGATACTATTTATATTCATAATACCATCTGTGTCCCTGTGTGTCTACATGCCCTAAAATTGTAGTGTCTCTGTTCCACATTACTGTGGGACGAACATATTTTATATTCAAAATAAAATTTTCGTTTTAAAGAAGAAAAGCCCTGTTATTGGATGTCTTTTCTGGATGATTTAACATGGTACTCTCTTTTGTTCTTTCTTTCTCCCAAATCTCTGCGTTGATGGTTTTTTATTACAAGTTTATTGAGTTGAATCATATGACTACTGAAGCAGAATTATTTCTCTAATTTCTTGATGGAGGGATCATATATTTAAAAAAATTGGGAGGTATAGATTTAAACATTGAAAAAAGAATGTTGTTTGATCCCAGTTTATGTGTTTGAAATATTAATTAATATGCAGGCACCTACTAAACACGGGTGTGGTCATTTTTGTGAACTATCTGCAACATTGAAAGCAGTTACTTGTGAAATAGATTGAGCATAATTTGATATGAAAAGAATTCTGAGAACTACTAAAAGCATCATTGGAGTTGCTTTGGATTTATTCATGACATGGTAGAACTCGAGTTACTTTTTTATCATTTAGTCCAAAGTAATTGCAGTCATGGTACCTGGAAATGTGTTTCATGTTGCTTGCACTTCTTGTAGCATGGAATGCCACTGATTCATTCGCACATCATTTTGTCTTTTTTTCCCCATAAACATGTTCTAGCTTTTGATTTTTTACAACCCTCTTCTGCTTCCTTCAGGTCCAACATCAAGCTCAGGGGACCTCTCCATTCCTCCAAAGGGTCTTCTTCTAGTGACACATGAACCCAGTTCTGTCAATACTGCACCAGGTCCACACATAAGAGGAAATACTTTGAGAGCATTTTCTATAGGCGACAAGGAAGTGGATCTCCTTCTTCCTGGTACTGCAAGGTATTTAATCTAGCCTTATTTGCTTTTTCATTGTACAAAAGGTAATCAAAATTTCTGTTTTTATTGAGATGAAACGTGTATGTATATATATTACGCTAGGATACTGTCTTTGGAAACTATGTAGAAGTTACTAGAAAGATGAACCCTAGTTTTACTAGGTATTGCTAACATTCATCAAGCTTTTAGCCTGCAACGGAACCATTACTGTTTCATAAAGATTGACAAACTTCTACGGATACGTGTGCATTTGCTTAATAATTTAACTAGTATGTAACATTTCCAACAACTATCATCTCTTCCTAGTTAGAAATACCTACAGAATTTTGTGAAGATTTCAGCTAACTACAAAAAAGCTAATGCCCCTGATGAAAATTGGACAGTTGTGACAAAATAGAGCTCTAGAGATTTGATACTCCAAAATCCTTCTACATTCGTGCTAGGTCACATGGCCTTGACTTTCCAGTTGCAACTGTAGTTAGGATTGGCTCTTTATCTGAAGGTAATAATAGAACACCAAAAGCTGTGCTATTTTATGAAACCTTACATAGGGTGGGGAAAAAATCAGCATGAGTTTGAAGAAGACATGGTACTCATCTGCCACCGAACTTCCTAGGCCAGCCTCTAGTGATTGTAAGGATTCTTCTTAGTTTGAAGGGCTGTTCAATTAGTGTTGAACGACAGTGCCTCTGAATTCAAGAGAGAATCGTGCGCTGAATGCATAAACAAATGAATTGGAACTTTAAACAAGTACTCTCTCCTCATAAGTACAAATGCTTGTGGGATTTCTCGTCAAAACTCAAATGTGTCATAAACTACTTCTTGATCAAGAAAATGACCCTTCTGACTCTTGCCAAAATGCGATTTTATTTTGCAACAGTGATAGTACCATTAGTGGATTGATTATATTCAAATTTTGATAGTGGAGTTTTTTGTTGGGGAACTTCTTATTAAGAATAAGTTAAGGCCAAGTAAGATTAGCCTAAGATAAAACTCCCTAATCTCGTGTTGTGTTTAATTATATTTTTCAGATTACGAGTGCAGTTAGGCGTGAACATGCCAGCTCAGGCAAACCGCAAGGTTTCAGAGGACGTTTTAGGTTCAGCAGATGTAGAACTTTTCGAGGTATATGATGTTGTTCTATATCTCGGCATAATTGATATACTACAGGACTACAGCATGAGAAAGAAAGTAGAGCATGCATATAAATCAGTACGATATGATTCTGCGTCAATATCTGTTGCTGATCCCCAGTTCTACTCGAAACGTTTCGTCAAATTTCTGGAGAAGGTTTTTCCTGTTGATCCCTGAAGTACTCCCAGCTGCTGGTTCAAACACAAACCACGTAAGATTCTTTTATTATAGCCGAAGTATATAGTCGTTTCATAATCTTTTTGTTGTCACTTCTATATAGTTGTAGTTATATTTGTATCACATCAGATTCAGCAATATTTCCCATTTATGTGGTGTTATTATGTAATAAACTAATTCAAGTCCATTCCCTTCGATCATTTCATTGATACAACATCTAAGAAGTACACAATTACATGTATATTTTTGACAGCTAGGTTCTCTCAGAAAATTCCATAATTATAACTATAACTATAATTTATAATCAAATCAAGGATGCTATGTATTCACTACTAAACCCCTGACTAATTATTGTAATAATATAATTGCTATTTGTCTATAATATTATAAGCGCACACACACACACACACACAATATATATATATATATATATATATATATATATATATATAAAATACTTTTTGGAGTAGAGGATATTAGTTATTAAATACTATGTTAATCAATTAACCTTTTTATTCCTTGTCTTCAAGGTAGAAGGTTCAAAATTTTGTCCCAATCTATATCCATTGATTCTTGAATCCCAATTTATACCTTCTCTTCTGTTCTGGATCATGATGAGGTCTTGCAGCAGGCCCAAAAAGTTGCTCATAGTCATCTCACTCCAACGGCCTCCTCTTCTTGTCGCATCCAGGTGCATCTTGTTCATTTCAGTCGTCTTTTCCTGTTCCGCGGTCCATCCCACGTGCCATCATTGATCCAGCTAAGAACTCTCGGTTCTTTGTTGCTCCTTCTAAGTCACATGGGTACATGCTGGTTCTTCCTAGTCTGGCACCTTGTTCTCTCAATATTTCTTAATTGTAATCAAATCAAGCATGCCATTTTGTATCATTGTAGGGCTAAAAACTTATGCTTTTATCATTATAATTCAAGGATCTCCTATTTGTACAACAGAGGAGACCTAACAAGAAAAGGAAATAATCAAAACAAATCAAAAACAGAGGTCAAGAGGATCTATATCGATAAAGTCCTAACTTATCCTAATCATATTAAGAGAATATCCTTATAATATGGAGAGTATATTGTGAGATATATATATATATATATTAACACCTCTCCTCAAGTAGAGCATGGGGACTAGAAATGTTTGGAATTTGGGGACTAGAAACGTTTGGAATTTGCTTTTATCATTATAATTTCTGGATCGTATATCGAAAGGTTCCAAATACTATATTTCATCCCTATTATGCTTTGGGTTTGCATGAAATCAAAACTGAGATAATCTAGAAATTTCATACACGAATTAAGGCACAAGATTCGTGTGTGTATATATATATATATATCTATATACACCTAATAAAAGTAACTTAGGAGCCACGTGTCTTGTTTCTGTGCGACGGTTATAAGCATTTTCCGCCTAAACATGTATCTAGACACAATTTACATTGGTGGTTCAAATAGGTCTATTTAATTGACGTCTGTCCCTCTAAACATTTATCTTTCCGATATCGTGGTTTAACTAATTTCCTTACTATGCGGGATGTATTTTACTCGTATAGTGGTCAGACTTTTAAGTCTGATTAGTACAGACTTCTCCCACAACTCTGGTGATGTGATTCCAGAGTTTTAGATTTAAGTCTGATTGCTACAGACTTGACCCACATCTCCGGTGATGGGATTTTAGAGTTTTAGATTTAAGTCTGATTACTACAGACTTCTCCCACATCTCTGGTAATGTGGTTCTAGAGTTTAGAATTATACTTGATTATTATAATTATGAATTATCGAGGTTTAACTGATTTCCTTATTACGTGGGATGTAGTTTACTCGTATAGTGGGATGTAGTTTACTCGTATAGTGGTCAGACTTATAAGTCTGATTGGTACAGACTTCTCCTACATCTCTGGTAATGTGATTCCAGAGTTTTCAGATTTAAGTCTGATTGCTACAGACTTCTCCCACATCTTTGGTAATGTGGTTCTAGAGTTTTCAGATTCAAGTCTGATTGCTACAGACTTCTCCCACATCTCTGGTAATGTCGTTCCAGAGTTCAAATTTAAGTCTCATTGCTATAGACTTGACCCACATTTCTGATGATGTGATTCCAGAGTTTTAGATTTAATTCTGATTGCTACAGACTTCTTCCACATCTTTGGTAATGTGGTTCCAGAGTTTAAAATTATACTGAATTATTATAATTATGAATTATCGTGGTTTAACTGATTTCCTTATTACGGGGGATGTAGTTTACTCGTATAGTGGTCAGACTTACAAGTCTGATTAGTACAGACTTCTCCTACATCTCTGGTAATGTGATTCCAGAGTTTCAAATTTAAGTTCTATTGCTACAGACTTCTCCCACATCCCTGGTAATGTGGTTCCAGAGTTTAGAATTATACTGAATTATTATAAGTATGAATTATTGTGATTTAACTAATTTCCTTATTACGCGGGATGTAGTTTACTCGTATAGTGGTTAGACTTATAAGTCTGATTAGAACAGACTTCTCCCACCTCTGGTAATGTGATTCCATAGTTTTCAGATTTAAGTCTGATTGCTACAGACTTCTTCCACATTTGAGGTAATCTTAGTTCAGAGTTTCCAGATTTAAGTCTGATTACTACAGACTTCTTCCACCACTTGTAATGTGATTTCAAAGTTCCGCCACCTAATTCTGATTGACACAGACTTCTCCCACATTTATGGTAATGTGATTCCAGAGTTCTTTGATTTAAGTCTGATTGCTACAGACTCGTCCCACATTTCTGTAGTCTTCTTTTCAAACGGACACCATGTAGAGCTTTTGGCTTGCCTATATTGTGCTCTGAAGTCTGAAGAGTTTCACTTCAGAATAATTTCAAGAGTACAAGTCTTGGAATAAACTTATTTACACTTTGAAGATAAGTCTTTAAGACTTAGACTTCGCGCGTGAAGTAAATCATCGCACCTACGGTCCAACCAATTGTAAGCCAGAGCCCCTCTGGTTGGTTTGGTTTCTGGATGTCTTTGCTTCTGATTGTTTATTTGAACCTTGGAAAAATATTCCAATTCATCATAAAGGAATTAGAGGGGTTGTGGTTGACCTTCATGTTTAACTAGAGAGTCTCTGGTTGTAATTGAAATTCAAATTCTTGAAGTATTTAACATTTTTTTGACCCAGAGGCTATGATGGATTAAGTATTCAAATTCTGAGTCAAAAAAATGTTAAATACTTAAAGAATTTGAGTTTCAATTACAACCAAAGATCATCTGGTTAAACATGAAGATTAACCACAACCCCTCTAGTTTCTTATGATAGATTGGATATTTTTTCAAGGTTCAAATAACAACCAGAAGCAAAGACATCCAGAAGCTAGACCAACTAGATGGGCTCTGGCTTACAATACCAAGTCTAAGTCTTAAAGACTTATCTTCAAAGTGTAGATAAGTTTATTACAAGACTTTTACTCTTGAAATTACTCTGAAGTGAGACTCTTCAGAGCTCTGTATAGGCAAGCTAGAAGCTTTGCATGGTGTCCATTTGGAAAAGAAGACTACAGAGATGTGGGACAAGTCTGTAGCAATCAGACTTAAACAAGTTGACTTAAGAGAAAATGTCTTTTATCAACGTTAATATAGGACCCTATTTGAGCCCCGTTAAAACAGGGCTACGGTTAAAATATAACTATGTAATGGTTATAACCGTTAACTAATAAAGTTTGAGACCAGTTATATTAGAAATTCAAAATCAAAGATAACATCTAGAGTTCTAATGTGCATCAAAGGGTGGATATCCCTTCTTACCAGAACCCAACCCTATATATATGACCAATCATTTGTTAACCTCCTAAATAATATTACTTTGTTAACTCGTCTTGACCAATCACGTAACTTCATTTCTTTTGGTTATAATTTTCAGTGTTTTTAATTATAGGGGTAGTTTTGTATTTTCTTAACAAATTTATTTTTTTAGTACTCCTATTCTATTACAAGACCTATAACCACATGAGAGTTGGTACCATTTTTGCACTTGCAACTTAATCCAATATATTATATATTGAGTAGAAGGACCAAAAAGCCAAATATAGTCGACAAGCCACCATTCTTTTGAGTTTCCAATGTGACTAATGACCACAAATATCAAGTCCGTTTAGGGTTGGATTTGGTTTTGTTAAAAAGACAGCCACGACATGAGTGGGTTATGGGTTTGGAATTGATAAGGGTCCCACAATTGGCAGATGAATACGAAGGAACATCGTATGCACAGGCTGCATCGTGGACCCAACCCAATTATACATCATATACTCATAAATGAAGCTTCTCACCGCTATTTATTGCTTTCGTTTGATGTGTCATGCCCAAAATTAAAGAATCTCACCATTGTTTTTTAAATTATCCAGTAATCACTTCAAAAAAGTGGATCTTACTGAATTCTTGCCAGATAAATGCTTGTCGATGGTCACTTTTTTTTTACTAGTGGACATGATAAAGACTGAAAATCTTAACCGGTAGGTGAGGAAAAGGTCCCTTACTTGGTAAATGCTACCAATGATCAATTTTGAAGACCGCGAATGCTACCCTTTAAAATAATTATTATCTGGTAAACGTTTGTTAAACAAACGTTGACTTATCTGTCAAGTTTCCCACTATCACCCCAAAAAAACCAAACTCTGTCTTACATAAACTTGTCAGAGTACGATTAACCCTTGGATTTGAAATCATCCCTGAATGATTTATACGACATGATATATACATATGTATATATATAGACATGGATCACGTGACACCAACCTATTTTCATGAAACGCGGCCACTTTTTTTCACTTGAAAATTCACAGCAAATATTGTGAAGGTAACCTTTAGTAAAAATTTGTGAAAAATATAAAATGGTTGGTTTTTGTTGGATATCTATCCTAGAAAGAAAGTCAAAGAGCGTATTGGCTTATTAGGTGTCGTTGGTTTGTATGTTTCTGAGGTGACGATGGTTCATGACTAGATATGCATACATATATATATATATATATATATATATATATATATATAGAGAGAGAGAGAGAGAGAGAGAGAGAGAGAGAGACACGTTTAAATGAAAACCGTGCAATTCTTAGAAACTGTGTAAACTAATTTTGACTAAATGAAAATTTTCATTTTTTTCTAATTAAATTTAATCAATAAGGGTATATTGGTCATTTGCATTGTTTTCTATTAAATATGAAAGTTATT